AGCCAGTGTGGCCACTGTCCCTCGGCGGCGTGGGTATGGGCGGCCCCGGTGGGTGGAGGCAGGTGCGGGCCTCCAGCCCGGAGGTCCTGACGGGCCCGAGGGTCGGCCGAGTGTCCGGGCCCTGGGGCCCCCGGAGGATGGGGTGACCGATGCAGGAGGGGCCTGGGAAAGCCCCGAGTAGGTGGGAAGCACGGGGTTCCAGACCTTTGGATTTTCGGTCCAAAAATTTTGAAAACACCGTAGGGCGCAGATAAAGTATCGGCAACCTTCTCACCGCAGTGCAGACTGCAGCGTGTAGCTGGTACCTGGGAACAGCAGGATTTAACAGACGGGTGCAGGGAGAGTTACAGTCTCCAGATGCTGAGAAAGAGGGATCGGAGGGCATGAAAATTAGAGTGGGAAAAGCAACCTTCTGAAACTGAGGGAGAAACGCAGGATGTGGGAGTAGGGGGTGGGCTGTCAAGCAAGCTCAGAACCTGGAGGCGTCCAGGTAGGTAAGGTGGGTCAGTGGAGGGTGGGCCCATAGTGTTACATCTTCCAGGTTTTCATGAGAAAACCAGCTGAGTTTTAAATATTGGCAGCTAAGTCGAACAAAAAGGAAAAGCTCGCTTCTGAGAGCCAAACAGAACGTGGCTGTGCCAATCTGCAGCCTCTGAAATGGAGGGGTTTGAAAAGGCGGTCTTGGTGAGTACTGCCAGAGAAGGGAGAAAGTGAGGGCCCAGGAGAGAGGGTTTGGCTGTAAGGAGGTCGTTGGAGGCTGGAGCTGAAGTCCCAGCCGAAACTGGAAACTTGAAGTTTGTCTTGGTGCCAGACACAGTCTTATGATTTTCCTTGGCAACATGCAGCATCTTAGGAGGAGCTGGCAGAGGAGGCTGGTGGTTAGTGGCTGGTGGCAGCAGGGCAGGGGAGTGAGGAATGGGACACTAGTCAGAGAGTTGGCTGAAGTGACGCCCATGGTTGGACCCACTAAAGAAAAGCTCTGGCTAGACGGAGAGGGCTGGAACTCGGATGGGAGGAGCGGGGTGAAGATGGTAGGACGTTAGGCTTGACGGATCGGGTGAGAGGTCGGGGAGGATTGGAGATCGTGATTACGAAGAGGAGAGAGAAGTGGGGGTGATCACAGGGTTCAGGAGAATACTTCAGTTCTGTGCTCCCCCACACACCTGGTCTTTTTAAGATTCATTTAAAAAAAGAATCCAAATAGGAATGAGTTCCATCGTGATTGTTCTAATTAATTTAGGGTTTTGTTTGTTTTTTTGAGGCAGTTAACCTCTGAGCTTCAGTGCAAGGGGACTAGTACCTTTGTTTGGGGTCATGAGGAATAAATGAGATATGCTTGTAAAAGTCCTGGTAGTGCCCAGCACGCAGTAGGTGCTCAGTAAACTCGAGCTGTCAATACAAAGGTACTTGAGGTGTTCCCCCTGAGCCCACACAGCCACACAGCTGTTTCTGAATGAGGTCCTGCAGGGCTCCCTCAGGGCTCCCACAGTGGGGTGGGGGGCCAAGTGGGATGGTCTGGCCTCCTTCCTCGTCCCTGTGAAACTGTCCCCTCTACCCCATCTACGGGGTAGCTCTGCTTTTGTCTGCTTTATTTATTTATATCTCCCAGGTAATTGACTTACTTGAATAAAGAGTTCTTTGGCCAAAAAAAAAAAAAGTGGCAATCAATTTGAACACAAAAACAAATGGCTTTTCCTTCATTTGGTCATTTATTTAGTTAACTGATGTGTGTGTGTGTAGATCGTGTGGTTGTGCTGGCAGCTGGGGATTCCAGTGTGGGGGGTCCTGTACTCTCCCTTGGGGAGGGTGCAGGCGATAGTGGGGAGAGTCACCCCATATTTGTTTGGCCATCAGGGTGGTGTGGGCTGTGATGGACGTGCACACTGAGCTCCACAGGTCACAGAGGCGGCGCCCTGAGATCGTCAGTCTGAGGGTGTGGAGGAGGGGGCACCTTTGGATGGAATCTGGAAGGATGAGCAGGTGACCATCTGAGAAAACAGTGGGACCAGTTGGGAGGCACACAGGAGTTGTCACGCTGGAAGATTAGGGGTGTGTGGGAGGAGAAGCAGCGGGCGTGGAGGGGCTGGGCTGCTGTAAGGTGGGTGACACCATCAGGCCTGTGTTTGGGGCATTTGACCCTGGTGTCCATGCAAAGAATGGACTGGAGGGAGGAGCAGATGCTGGAGATGGGCAGCCACTGGGAGGCGAGTCACACTGAGGCCTGAGCTGTGCAGGGGCACAGAGGAAGAGGCAGAGACCCCTCAGGAAATGGATGGGCGAGGTGTGTGGGTGAGAGTGAGAAGGACCAGGCTGCCTCCCAGGGTTCTGGCTGGGGCACAGGGCTAGAGGGTGTGCAACCAACTGAGTGTGGGAGGGAGGTGGGCCCTCTTTCCCATCAAGACCCCATCCCCAACATCCTCCAGTAGCCGGAGTTTTGCCCCTTTTCCAGAATGTGTCCACTTCCTGTCCCCGCCCACTTTTCTGAACACCCTGAGCCTTTTAGGTCTCACAGTGTGGTGTTGTCTGTCTGTCTGTCTGTCTGTCTTCCTGGCAGTTGTTTCTGGTAAGTCAGACTTGTCTCCGACTCGGTGACGATCACCACACGGGCAAGATGGCATCCTCTCTTTGGTTCCATCCACTGAGACTGCAGCACATGCTGGGTGTTTGACTTGCTGACTCGAAAGTGTCCCTTGTTTTCTTTTCAGATTGTGAGAGCAGTCAGTGTGTCCCCCAGAAATCCAGGCGCTGGCGGGGAGCCTGGACCCACAATGGAGATTCCCCCAGCAGCCAAGCTTGCTGAGGCCTTTGTGTTTGAGGACGGGCTGGATGTGCGGCAAGGCCTTTTTCCAGAGGAGGACCTGGGGGACACTTTTCTTCAGGAAAGGAGTTTAGGGCAGATGGCTGTTGTCTACAAGGAGATCCCTCTGGGGGAACAAGATGAAACGCAGGACGATTACTCGGGGAATTTCAGTCTGTGCTCCAGCCCCGTCCAGCATCCAAGCGCCCCCTCAGCGAACAGACCCCAGGACGATGAGCTCTTCAGCCAGACCTTCCTCCAGAGATCGGACCTTAGCCTGTGCCAGATCGTTCACAGCGGAGGAGAATCGGGTAAGCACGAGGGTGAGACGGTGGGCAGGGGGATCTCGGGCTCCGGGGAGCCTCCCAGAACTGCCCAGCCAGCCAAACCCTACACGTGCCGGGAGTGCGGGAAGGCCTTCAGCCAGAGCTCGCACCTGCTCAGGCACCTGGTGATCCACACCGGGGAGAAGCCCTATGAGTGCGGGGAGTGCGGAAAGGCCTTCAGCCAGAGCTCGCACCTGCTCAGGCACCAGATCATCCACACCGGGGAGAAGCCCTACGAGTGCGGGGAGTGCGGGAAGGCCTTCCGCCAGAGCTCGGCCCTGGCCCAGCATCAGAAGACGCACACGGGGAAGAGACCCTACGCGTGCAGGGAGTGCGGGAAGGATTTCAGCCGGAGCTCCAGCCTCAGGAAGCACGAGCGGATCCACACCGGAGAGAAGCCGTACCAGTGTAAGGAGTGCGGCAAGGCCTTCAACCAGAGCTCCGGCCTGAGCCAGCACCGGAAGATCCACACCCTGAGGAAGCCGCACGCCTGTGAGCTCTGCGGCAAGGCCTTCTGCCACCGGTCCCACCTCATCCGGCACCAGCGCGTGCACACAGGCAAGAAGCCGTATGCATGCGAGGAGTGCGGCAAGGCCTTCAGCCAGAGCTCCAACCTCATCGAGCACCGCAAGACCCACACGGGCGAGAAGCCCTATCGCTGCCACAAGTGCGGCAGGGCCTTCAGCCAGAGCTCTTCGCTGATCGAGCACCAGCGCATCCACACCGGGGAGAAGCCCTATGAGTGCAGCCAGTGCGGCAAGGCCTTCTGCCACAGCTCAGCGCTCATCCAGCACCAGCGCATCCACACAGGCAAGAAGCCCTACGCCTGCAACGAGTGCGGCAAGGCCTTCCGGCACCGCTCGGCGCTCATCGAGCACTACAAAACCCACACGCGGGAGAAGCCCTACGAGTGCGGCCAGTGCGGCAAGGCCTTCCGGGGCAGCTCGCACCTCATCCGGCATCAGAAGGTCCACGCCGGGGAGAAGCTGTAGAGGGCGGGCCCGCGCCTCCCCCAGATGGAACTGGCACCCTGTCCTCCATCCCAGGGGCCTGCCCGCCTCCCTGGTACCCAGGCTGCCTAGAAACCCCGAGGCCCAGCAGGTGGACTGGGTGAAGGCAGGGGAGCCTAGGAAGGGCACCAGGACAGAGCTGCTCTCAGTCAGCTTGTGCTCACGGGTGACTCCCAAGCCAAATAGGGTTTAGTTTTGCCCTCTCTGCTTCTTCCAGAATCTTGAAGAAGAATAAACATGAGAGAGAAAGTGGAGTTAAACCCACGGAAACAGGAGATGAACTCTACCATCAGTCCCTTTTAGAAGTAAGCGAGCTCACAGTCCAAATCCACTAAAGACAGAGAAATCCAAAGTAGAGGCGCAGCAGCTGTCCTCGGGCATTGGTGGGGTCAGCCAAACCGGGTTACGAATAGTCTGGAAGGATTCTGGATGGGGGATGAGCTTAGGCCACAGCGGGTCTCAGTCCGCCACGGGGGTTGGAGCAAGGGCACTTCTGGCTGCTGGCTGGTCTGGTCCACAGAGGGCAGAGGCTTGGTCCTGGGGGCCAGAGGATGGTTGCCGCCAGGAGTGACCCCCTCCACCGACTACAGCGTGCCTCGGATGTCCGCGGGGCAGCTTCTGGTCTGGCAGCTCTCAGCCTCCTCCCCGCCATCCAGGGCCAGGGGACCAACGGTGGTTCAGACAGAAGTTCTGGGTTCAAGTGCCACTTCTGGCCTCTCCTGCCTCTGTCATCTGGAGGAAGCCCCAAGGCTCTGTCTCCCCTTCTGTGAGGCAGGGACACTGGGACCCTGCCACATCCCGCCAGGGGTTGGCGCCAGGCTCCCGTTCAGAATAGGACCGCACTCAGAGGACCTTTGTCAACTGGCTACTGAGACTGGAAACCGGAGCGATCCCCTCCTGGAGAGGAGACACACCCCTGTTTGGTTCCCAGCAGGTCAGGCTTGCAGCCAGCCCTCTCCTAACACCAGGCTCTTCCACGGTCCCTCAAGCCTGTACCCTGGGCTGGGGGTGCCCTGGGCTGCAGCGGCAGTGTGTCCCATCCTGTACTCCTCTCTGTCCTCCCCACCGGGCTTCCCGCCCAGGCCAGTTCAGTCGGGCATCCCCAGAGCTGGGGCCCACATGGTGGTGTTTTAGAAGCTCCCCAGGTGACGGGAAGGTCTCACCGTGTGGCAGGCTGAGAGCACTGTACTTGCTCCCACACAGCCCCAGTGTCTCCCACCTGGCAGGCCTGCTCGCCTGGCTGTGCAGAGCTTGAAGGTGTAGGTGTCTGCATCCCCAGCCCCCCGACCCAGGAGTGGGGGCCTGGGCCATGACACGTCTGGCTGGTTGGTAAGCGTTTGTCCCGGGCCTTTGTGTGTCCATGATGGTCTTTAGTACTGGCTGCCCCAGGCTCCTCAGAGCTAGTGTTGGGGGAGGCAGTCTAATCTTGAAGATTTCTGAAAGTTTATGGCTAAAATCCCACGAACCTGTCATGGTAATGCCGGTGATTTCAGCCAATCCGAAGCTCAGCTTGGCAGCTAAGTATAGTTTTGATGAATAAAAATGGACAAGCCATAATTGTTCCTTCGTAAGTGAGGCTTGGTTGGCCAGAGATGTTAAAATGAGAGGCCTGTTGGGCTGGGAAGATCGCCTTTGGCCAACTCCTCTCTGCTATGTGAGTATGTGGAGCATTTAACCAGCAGCCCAGGGTCCCCCAGAACCCCCACATGAACGGGTGGACTGGCCTGACTGGGCAGCCCACACGGAGGAGCTTCTGTCATTGACCCGGAGTGAAGAGAGAACACTGACACCCTTGCTCGGTGCAGGACAGCGCCCCCCCCACCACGATCTACCTCCTCGCCCCCCACCCCCCCATTCTGCCTCGGCCTTGGCCAGGCCTGTCCCTGTTGGGCAGGGTGAGCATCTGCTTCCTACTTGGACGTCCCCCACCCCCCACCCCGCATACTGCACACCAAACTAAATTGTTTTCTTTGCAGCATCACTTTGCACACGTCACCACTCTCCTTAAAATCAGCCTTCAGGGGCTGTTCCACACATAAACTCCCTTTTCAGGCAATCTGGGGTCCCCTCCCACAAGCCTCCTGGGCTCCTGCCACCCCCAGATACCCCCACTCCCAGCTTCTCTCAGCTCGTGGTGTGCGGTTCTCACGTTGAATATGCACTTTCTCCTCCCTGCCACATCCTTTCTTCCTTTTGACAATTTATGTGACGTGGGTTTCTGAAGCCTCCAGCGATTCTCATAACCACGGTGAGGCCAGGCGGGTGCTTTCTGTTCCAGAAGCGTGGACAGACCTGGTTCCTTCGGTTCAGATTCTTTCATCCTTTTATTATGTATTTTTAAATCCTTTCATTTATTTAGGTTCTTGAACAGTGTGATGTTATAAGAGATCATCCTGGTAATATTTTAATTGTCCTTGAATTTCATTGTGTGTTTTTGTTTATTGTGTTACCTTTTTTCCTTCTTTTCACAGATGTTGTTGGGTGTTATAAAACACCAGTTCTTGATTGTTTCCTGATGAAATTGTTTTGTCAAAGTACATGCTCTTTCCTTTCCTTTTTTTTTTTGAATTAATAGTTTACATTTCTAAGATTAACTATTTAGATACAGTTTATTGTTTTCAATGTTTCTAGTAAATGTGGGTACTTTGGCCTATAATTTTTTTTCTTATAGTTAGAGCTTTTTCTGTGCTCCATAAGGTTGATATGCAATATTTTTTGCTATTGTATTAAGACTTTCCCTTTGGCCCAAGTATTGTTATTTTTAATACTGCAAAGCGGTAACTTCTGGGGTCATTGCTGTTACTATTGTACACGGTATGAACATTTCTAAGCGTCCATGGAAGCTCTCTGGGCTGGAGTATGTTACCAGCTTTTATGAAGCCTCTGTGCACTCTCAGGAAATGTGTTTTTACTCCATCAATTCTATTCATTAACTCAATTTTTAAATTATTTTATTCAAATCCATACTTTCACTAACTTTTCTTTACTTCAGAGTTCTTAATCTGGGGTCTAACGACTGTCTAGCAGTCCATGAGCGGGCAAGGGTTTTGAGGTTGTGGACCCCTGGGGACTGAACAAAGCCTTGTGGATACGTGGACGAACGAATTATTCTGGGAGGGGGTGGTCTGTAGCATTCACCACATTTTGGATGGGCTCTGTGACCCCAAAGTACTTAAGAATACTCATTCACCTGGTCGAGTCATAGTCAGATCTTGTTTTACTTCATGTAGTTCTGTTTTGCTTTCATTTCTGTTTCTATCTTATGTATGCTGTTACTGTGTTAGTAGTGCAGTTATCTTCTTTAGAAATAGGTAGGGTACATGATCAGCAAGTAACTATCATATTTGGGGCATAATAATTGAATAGTGATATTCTGAAAAACTGTGCCTTTGAGTACCCTCTTTGCCTCTTTTAATGCTTCAAGCTTCAACTTCTCTCTTCCAAATATAATTGAAGCCCCTTACTCTTTCTGAATTTTCATATGCATGAGTGTTTATTTAGCTCTGCATTTTACTTTAAAATTTGTGTATATTTTGCTACATATCTGTAACTTATAAACAGCGAATTGTTAGATTTTGTTTGATGGTTCTTTCTGTGAGTCTTCTTCTTCTTCCATGAGAAGTCCTATCATTAACATTATTGCTTAGAGTGATGCATAATTTATTTGCATCTTAATATTTGATATATATTAACTCATTTAACCCCAAAAGGTCATGCTCACCACCTCATCTCTGTGAGTTACTGTCCACATGTGAGCATCACTTCTGGGTGGACTGGAGGTCTGCATATTTGGAAATATTTCTTTAAGTTTCTGTTCTTTTTTACTCCCAAAGCTTGTTCAACATAACTTAGAACATTCCATAGTGCTTTGCCTTTTAGCAAATACTACGAGATGCAGCAAAGAGTGAGAACCAGGGAATAGTCCACCCTTTCTGAGGGAACCCATGCAGTCATAGGAAAGAGAGGTGGGGACCCTGATCGTGTACCCCTCTCCCCATCACCTGTCTGTCCCAGGCTGGTTCCCTCAACCTAGGATGGGCCAGTTTGGCAAATGGGAAGGACCCCACTGTCCCTGGGATGTAGGAGGAGAACCCTGTCTGAGATCCCAGCGCAGTCCTGAAGTCTAAGTGTGGAGCATGAGCCTGGCCTGTTCGGAGATGGGGTCAGCAGGAGCTCCACCCCTGCCCGGTGCTCACCCGCCTGTGGGAGGCCAAGCAGCCACCTCTGCACTGGCTTCTCCCCAGGAGCTGACCCACTGTCTCCTCTTCCTCTTTGCCTTAGATACTCTCAGGCCAGAAGCCAGACCTGCCTGGGATCCCCCTGTGGGCACACCTGACTCAGCTTTTGCCCAGAGAGTGGGTCCAGAAGGGGCTCTGGGGCTCCCTGTGCTCCCTGGGTTGAGGGGGAACACCCCACCCCTTCCCCTCTAACCCAGGCCTGCCCATCTGGTTCCAGGGCTTGCCGCCCCCTCTTTGGCTACCAGAGGTCGCTGTCCCTTCGCTGGAAGTGCATGGGGACCCAGCACCCAGACTCCGGATAGCAGATTCAGGGACCTCCAAATGATGCCCCTTGGACACTGAGGCCTGGAGCCCAGGGTCATCTCAGGCGGTGGCAGAATGGGAACCAGGATGGGGGGACAGGCTTAGTGACCACCCAGTGATGCCCGTGGGCCTCACTTGGTTCACACTTAACGCCTCAGGGCATGTGCACCTCTGGGGACAAGGTCCAGGGTCCACAATCCAAGGAGGAATGTGGGTACGGGACCAGGCTCGGCTTGGACCCGGGTCTGTAAGTGAGCCCAGCTGCTCTGCAGAGCTGGCTGAAGGTCGCAGTGACCCTGACATAGACGCCCCTGTGTCCCCACTGTTGCAGGGGGGCATGAGCCATCCAGTAAGTGCTGACCCACGCACCAGGAATGCCCAGGGCTTCCGGGGCCGTGTTTGTGAAGGAGGGAGAGGAATTGTCCAATGTCTGTCCACACAAACGGCCATTTCGGTCCGGCCAGCACCTGCTGTGTGTCTACACGCTGAACTGTCTGGCTCCCCCTACTTGACTGGTTGGCTCCCAGTCCTAGAGACGTACGTGCAGGAGGCTAGAAGGCGCAGGTATGTCGGCATGATGCTGTCCAAGTACATTTGAAAACTTGGACAAATCACGAGGTGCTCAGCCTGCTCTGCAAGGCCCTGAGGGCCCTGCCCCCTTCCTTGGATCCAGCCCCTGCTGGCCTCCTTGCTGTTCCCGCACATCTGTGCCCGACAGCCCATGCTCTGAGACCTCCCTGAGATGCTGGAGCTGGCAACCAAGATGTCTCAGAGTAGGTGAAGGATAAATAAACAGTGTACATCCAGACAATGAAATATTATTCAGCAATAAAGAAAGAAATGAACTATTAAGCCACAAAAAGACCTAGAGGAACATTAAATGTGTGTTCATAAGTGAAACGAGCCAATCTGGAAAGCTACCACTATATGATTCAGACTATTTGGCATTCTGGAAAAGGCAGCAGTATGGAGACAATGAAAAGCTCAGTGGCTGCCAGGAGTTGGGGGTTAGGAGGGGTGAGTAGGTGGAGTACAGAGGATCTTTAGGGCAGTGAAAATTCTCTGCGTAAAGCTACAGTAGTAAACGTGTCATTACACATTTGTCCGAACGTACAGGATGTAAACTGAGTTCTGGACTGTGTTGTGTCAGTGTAGTTTGGTCAGTTGTAACAAATGCACCACTCTGGTAAGGGAGATTGATAATAAAGGAGGTGATGCATGTGTGGGGGCAGCGGGTATATGGGAGATCTCTGTATCTTCTGCTCAATTTTGCTGTGAACCTAAAACTGCTCTAAAAAATAGTGTTCTTTTGTAATTGGTGGGGTGGGTATAGCTCAGTGGTAGAGCACACACTTAGCCTGCACGAGGTCCTGGGTCCAATCCCCAGTACTTCCATTAACATTTTAAAAAGTAAAACAATAAAATAAATTAATTGACCATGGATATATATTTTTATTTCTCACTCTCAGTGCTGTTGCTTGGATTCATGTGTCTATCTTTATGCCAATACCACACTGTTTTGGTTACTTTATCTTTTAGCAAGTTTTGAGACTGGGAACTATGCTTCTAATAATTAGATCTCCCCACCCACCCAACTATCCATCCATCCAGTCACATATTTAATTACTAACCTACCCATGAACATACCAATCCACTCACTAATCAAGCCATCAATTAATCATCTACCTCCCTCTCCGTCCATCCATACACCCACCCATACACCCACCCACCCACCAATCCCTTCCTTCCCTCTTTCAAACTGCTTATTTTTTTTAATTAAAGAAAAAAAATTTTAATAGAGGTGCTGGGGATTGAACCCAGGCCCTCGTGCATGCTAAGTGTGTGCTCTACCACTCTATACTCACCCCTTGCCAAGCTACTTATTGAGAGCCTTGAAGTTACGAGGCACTAGGCTGGGGATCAGGTGCGGAGTCGGCAAAACTGGGAAGGGGCTACACCCTTGGCAGCGGCAGCTTTTCCTCTGTCAGTGAGGGTCCTGGCAGAGGGAATTGAGATCCCTTGGGGTCCAGCTCTCCAGGATTCCAGGACCCAGGACGAAGCTTGTAGAGGATGAGGGGAGGCAGCCAGGGAGCTGCACCAGGCCCAGTCCAGGGCTGGGAGGGGGCTCGGTTGTGGGTGGGGAGGGCTCTGCTTCCTTCTGTGAGCTGCAAACATCCGGCTACAGCCCTGAAACTGCCCCGTCCCCATCCCAGGCCGCACCTGGCCCTGTTTGTCACCCGTCCCACACCCCGCTGACCACGGGCTAGGTTTCTCTTCCCCTTACTTCTCCTCTTTTGTCACCTGGAGTTCTGGTTTAGGTCAAAGGTAGGGTTAGCTTTAGATTGCAGACCCCAGGGGGCTGCCAGCAGGGCCACCAGAGCTGAAGGAGGCGACCAAACCCACTCCATCCCTGTATTACCTGGGGCTTCCCTGCCCCTCCAAAGCCAGAGCCCCAGTACCAACCCCTTTGTCCAGGAATCCTAGTTTTCCTACAATTTCTGGCCTGCGGGGCCCCTTACCCAGCTCTCCCTGAGCAGAGGGGAAGGCTGGGGCCCAGGGAAGGGAAGCAACTTGCCTAGGATCACGCAGCGTGTCAAAGACAGGCCCAGGCAAGTGCTGGTCGTGGTGACAGCAATGGCTGGGATAGGTGAGGGTCGCTGTGGTCCAGGCACGTCACAGGCATTGGCTCCTTTAATCCCCAAGCCCACCCTGTTGGGTGGCTGAAGTTGCTGCTGCTCCCAGACCCCTTCGCTGACCACCCAGCACCCCAGGACTCCCCTCCCCTTGTCTTCCTCCCAGGGGGTCTCATTTGTGCCACGAGTTCCAGGCCGTGTGTGGACAAGTCTCCCCAGGCACCCAAGGTCACA